TGAGTTTATGTTTTTTGCCACTCTCATAGCTTCCACACTTGGCCTATCTAGGGTAGAGAACGACAATCTAGGTGAGAGACTTGTAGAAGACTTGCCTCATTTGCAAGTGTTGGCCACTGAGTTGTACCATATTGACCATCTTGATAATTGGATTATATTGAATTTTTAGCAAAAATACTTAACCCAAGATTATAGGATATCAAGTGTAGTGACCAATTACAACATAGAACCAAAAACCTATATCTCAGACTTTCCTACCCAAAAGGCACACATGTTTTATGCTTTAGGGAAAAGATTTGATCTTGATTTGTTAATGATGATATTTGAGTTTATTCAACTGGCCTTTTTAGAGGGAATAGTATCAAACAATCTACCGTTTGGATCTTTGATTACTAGTATCTCCTCAAGCCCCACTAGTGCATCCCGAGATTAGCACATCTAGAACACCACCACCACCTGAGTCAAGTTCATGTATCCTTGAAGCCTAGATGGCATCACTTGCTAATATGATGACTAGGGGTTGAGTACATCATGATTAAGCATTACCAGTTGACTTCTTAGAGGTTGGATGTACTAGATGGCGGGAATGTGAGCTTAAAGGAGACCAAGTAGACCGTGATGGGAGTAGTTGTTCATAGAGTTGGGCAACTCAGGAAATTGTTGAATGGGAAGCAGATTTCAGGCGAGCCTCTGCTAGATGACATGGATTCGGATCTAGAGATGCCCTAACATGACGAAAGAGATGGAGGTGATGTAGCCGTTTGAGGTATGACTGTTGGAGACTTAGGATAGGTCATATGTGAACTTGAGAGTGTTCTTACATTCATTCATGACATGTATTAAAGTACTTTGTTTCTTTTTGACTTTTTATCTTTTGTTGATTTTTATTTGTTTAGCTCTAGTTTTTTGTTGTTGTGACGTACTATTAGTCTTGTTCATTGATGCTTAATCATATTTGACTTTGAGTTATATGTCTTGTTTATCCTTTGCTTACTTTACTTGCATGATTTGGCTAGTTTTATGCACTCATACCTTCTTGTTATACTATGATTATATGTCATAATTTTTATAGGTCGTCATTAAATTGAAATCTGTAGCAAATAAGATAAGAATATGTTGGGTAACTTGATTCTATATTGTGTTTGTTGTATGTTGGCATTTGTGATAAAAAGGGGGAAAATGTTTTAGAAACATTGGGAGAAATCGTAAAAATTTACTCTTGACTATACTAGATGTACTGCATGCGAATATAGAAAATGAGAGTTTGTTCTAATACTCAGGGGCTCAGGAGGAGTAAAATTGCAAACTTGGCATGAAGTAACATTTTTCTTTGTTTATTTTTCACTTGTTATTTTACTTATAAACACAAACTAAGGAGGATAACTTGATGTGTTTCATATTGATAGATTAATAGGTTCCAAGCATATTGAGCAAGTTAATTTCTAACTTATTACATATTTGTACTTGCATGATGTATACATATTTATACCCTATGCTTAACTTGTTGTTTTTTATACTTGTTATTATGTTATGTATTTTTCTAACATATGATGTTTGTCACGAAGTTTTGGTTTGAGTGGTGGTGTGCAAGACTACGATCTTCAAGCTTCATCAAAAGAAATAGATCCTTGTACTACATAGAGATTTAGGATGTATACATGAGAGTTAAGATTAGTTTACAATTTTTTTGTTCAATAGTTTTGAGTTGTAATCTTAATTTTTAACTTTTGTATGTTTGTCATGAAATTGCCAAAAGTGAAGATTGTTAGATCATATTTGTAATTAACTAATTTTGTGGAATCTATTGTAAAATCTCAACTTATTCCATGATCATGATGCTATAAATTTTAAGATCCAAAAATGTAATTGAAGAAAGAAGATCAAGTGTAAAAGCAACATCATTCAACCTTTGTATGCACCTTCATGCTTAGAACAAAGGTACTGACATGGACACTTAAGATGAAATCTTAGTTATTTTAACTTAAGATGATTAGGATGAAAATGGAATTAGGAAGCGATCCAATTATGACTCCTAAGTGATATTAAAAGAAAAAAAATTTCTAAACCATTTTTATATTTTAAAAATATAGTTTGAGTCACAATCAAACTTCTTTTTTGAGTAACACCCTTTAGTGCTAAAGAAGAGAAGTTTTTATATGGTTTTAGATTTAAAAACCTGCAGGGACCGATCTATGCGCACTAGCCTTTGTTAGAGCAGTCTCTTTATGATTTAGAAAAAAATGAAAAAAGGCCATGGAAGGCAGTACAGGGCTCCCTCGAGCAATCTCATGGTTACTTGAATGGTGCTTGCTTTAGTCATATTTGAAACGTTATTTTCACTCCAACGACAACTGCCCTATAACCACCCTTCTACTGATCGAGTGATCATTTGCGAATCTGAGTTTTCTTATTTACTAAGACTACCCTTTATTTTGGACTTATAAATAGGGAGAGTCTTTCCCACATTTAGGTTAAACCTCTAGAGCCTCTACAAAGATTTCAACGAAAGATATTCATTCATTTATCTTGAGAGCTTCCACTATAACCTAGATCTCTTAGATGCAAAGGCTACCACTAATGATTCTATCTCTTGAATTGGTGTTGAAGAACTTGTTGGGTGAAAAACCCATTGATATGAGAATTGTTGGTGTGTTCATAATTGCTCAAGGCATAGATGAAACGTGCGGCGAGGAGGTCCAAATGAAGTTACAGTAGAAGTCAGAGAGGGACTTTCGATGAAGAGACACAACAATTAAAGGAGCATCTAACAATAGTATTAATTGAGGCATAAGTCTCGAGTACTTGTATATTGACTTTGAGAGTAGTGAATTAGACTTTGGTAAACCCAAGAGGTTCTTACGATTTTTTTCAAAGCTGGTTTTCCGCGTAATAAATTACTAGTGTTCTTTACTTTCTATCATATATACTTGTGATTTGTTAGCACACATGCACGCTATGTGTTTAATATTTTTGATTATTTGATATCATATCCCCTATAGTCGTACAATTGAGTTTGGGACCTCCTCGCAAATTTTTGATCAAATTAATTCAAGATTAATAAAAATCAATCGTCATGGTTAAATTGGGTTATGTTGTTTAAAAGGGGTTCTCACATTCTTTGTTTAATCTTTGTGGGAAGAGATAATTGTGATGTTTTAGGTTTTAATTGTTAATTCATTTGAGCTAAATTTGAAAACCTATTTACCCCCTCTAGGTATGGTGTCTTGGTCTCCATGTGTATAATCGTAAAGGAAGATTGAATTTCCTTTCTCCCGGAATAACAATGTATGTAAAAACATAATTTTGAGCTTCAAAACATATGGGTGGAAATAGAAAAATGTTGTGTTCACCCAAATTTTTATCAAATTTTAGATCCCAAGTGGTGCAACACATTAACAGCCATTGGATAGATGGTTAAAGTTTATTGGATCCATTGATCATATGATTCACATTGATTTGAGACTCAAATATTGGTAAAAATTTTGGTGAATGTAACATTGTTAAAATTGGCATCGCATAGAGGTTTGCATAGAAAAGGGGTGGGGATTGATTAGGTGTGGAAATAACCCCACCTTTTAACCAATTATCAAAATTTAGAACATGAGAAGGTCACTTTACATCAAAAAAAAGAACTTGATAATATGACTCATAGCAATTTATGGTAATAATTAGATTTAATAGAAGTTTAGAGGATGTTGATGCAATTAAATTCATAATTTACACACGACAAACGTTTCATAATTTTGTAACATAATGTTGTTTGGATATAGTTTGCTAGGCTCCAGTAGGAGTTTTGCTAACGGTGGGTTACGGTATATGTTAGAATTTAGATTCGCAATCAGTCTAAGATTGTTATGGATTAGATGAATAAATTATGTTTAAATATTATTATTTTTTAAATAATATTATTGATTTTTTAATAAAAAATAATATTTAAACTTAATTTAAGAATCTAATAATATACAATTATTGAATTAATTATAAATTCTATCTAATATTAAAATTCACAACTAATATAATAATTGCGTTAAAATTACGTTATTAGATCCCTAAATTAAATACTTAAATAAACTCCTTATAGCATTATTCTTTGGCAATTCGCATCCATGCTAAATCGAGGGCACGTGGCGACATTTATTTAGTAGACGAAAATTTCAGATTTGCCGCGCTGAAGTCAAAACCACACCCAGCCTCGGACTTTGTCTTTTTCACAAGTCCGAGGCACTGGCACTCCGAACCAAAACCACACAGCGTAATCCTCAAATCCGAACCTCAGACCTTATTTCTGTCTCTGCTTAGACATGTCGCTCAATTACAGGGTCCATAGTGAGAAACTCTACAATAAGTAACGCTCGGACCCTTGGTCTTCTCTCGGCTCCCATTTTCAACCGTCCGATTACTCAAATCAGAGCAATCCACGCCTTCAAATACTACGTCGACCTCCATTTCCGTTCGTGTTTCATATATGATATTTGTCTCATCCTATCTGTACATCTCTCTCTCTCTCACACACACACAAACACACACACCACATAGCTTCTTCTGTCTACGCCTCTCTTCTCATCTTCTCTGTAAAACACTTTTGCTGTGATTTCTTGATGTGGTTGAAGTAGTGGTAGCTGAATCGGAGATTCACAAAGCATCTGCTTCATTTGTCTCATCTCTTTCTCTCTAAAAACTGTGCTTCGCTGTGATTCTGGATTCTGACTTGAAAGCTTTCAGTCGTATGTATCATTTTCAATTTTTTTTGTAGTGTTTTTGCTTCAGAAAACAATTTTTTTATTTGTTTTCTTCATGTTAAAAACCATGTGGCTCTTATCAGTTTTGAATTTTTGACATATTTTCTCTCTCTCTCTCTCTCTCGCTCTCTCTCTCTTGGTTGAGGTTAAGTGATGGTGTATTATAAAAATTAATTTATTTTCTAAATTCGAACGGGTTTGAATTTTGAAACACGAATCGTCAAAGCTTTGCTGGCTGTACCATAAAAGTTACCGTTTCTCTTTCCTTCTGAATTTTTTGGTGTTCGAATTAAATGCGTCGGTAACGTGTTCACATGCAGATTGATAAGCGGATAGCTTTCACTGTAAGGTCGTAGAAAGCTCGCTTTAGCTAGGGCTTGATACAGTGTATGTACTCAGTATCAGATCCTTGGACCCGCCTAAATTATAGTCAACTTGGATTTAGATTAGGCCAGTGATGTCGTCATCGCCGGTGAGAGAGATTGATCCGTTGTTGAAGGATCTGAGTGACAAAAAGCAGAGCTTCCGTCGGAACGTGGTGTCGCTGGCGGCGGAGCTCAAGGACGTTAGAAGCCGTCTTGCATCGCAGGAGCAGTCATTTGCTCGTGAAACCCTAACTAGACAGGCATGATCTTTGGTGTATTTGAATGATATATCCTTTGTTTATTTGTATGAATGATTTGCGTTTTGTGTAACCTGAAATGAAATCATTCCGACCTTTTGTTCTTCTCTACAAAAGTGGTTCTTGTTTGTGGGACCCTTCAATTTTGTAATTTGAATGTTGAAATCGTACGATTTTTGGGGATTTTTGGCAGGAAGCAGAGACCAAAGCGAAGAACATGGAAGAAGAGATTTCAAAATTGCAGAAGAGCTTAGAGGAGAGGAACGAGCAGGTTCAAACTGCAGCATCATATGCAGAAAAGGTTTCAATTTTTTCCCGTTCTTGATTAGTAAATATTATTTCTTGATTTCAATGTATAATTTGCCTTTTGGGTTCTTTGCATTATTGCGTAATTTGATCTGATTAGGTTGTGTTAAAATTTTCCCATTTCAGGTTATTAAAAGACCATTATTTGATCCATTGACATGAATCTTATATATCTTTTTGGGGTTACCTTTTTTGGCTTTTCTTGCTTGTTTTTGGATCAGTAGGAATATAATCCAAGTACGAATAATATATTGTTGTCTTACTTTATAGTTCTGTAGTTTGAACGGTTCAACAAATTTGTCTTCATCTATCACAACCATCTGGCAGTGGAAGCATCTTCAACAAAATTTACAGATTAAATCATTCGAAGATCTGTAATAGTGTCTTTCAGATGTCGAAAGTTAGATCAAATATATCCGCCTTTGAGAATTTGTTCTACAGAAAAAATCTTTGATAATTTTCTGTTCAAGCTTTAGATTACATCGTTGAATCCACCTCCCACCTGGGGTCTTAACTTTTAGTAGTGGAGAACTAGAAATCACTTTCAATGAAAAAATGATGTTACATGATTAGGGGTATCATTTCTAGTGGACATCGTTGCCAAAAGAAGCCGTTACCCTACATTTTTTAAAAGCTTCTCACTCTCTCTCTCTCTCTCTCTCTCACAGAGTGCAGCAAGACCTATGAAGCTTCTCTTTTTTAGGAGGTAACTAACTATAATACAGAATTTTCATGAAATCATTTGCATCGAGTTATATCTTTTATTAGGTAGCTTTTAACTGGCTGTTTGAGAGGGATTTGGGCTACCAAGGTTATATCCCTTTGCCTTTGATTTTTTAGGTACTCGGATCATTAATTCCAATTGCTGACAGTTGTATGGCACTGTATTACCTTTTCTGCCCCTCAAACATGAAACGTTTAGCTGCAAGATTTGCCATCTCCACATTCTAATTCTGAGGAAAATTGTTCCCATTGTCTTGGGTGTTCAAACAGTGGTCATAGTAAGTAATAGCGGAATGAGATGTTTCCCAAATGGAAATTGACCATTGAATTACTTTGAACTTTGCGTTGTTTGTCCACCAATATCCTTTAGTTGTGTATGTTTTTCAAAACACCCTTATTTAGGACCGTTAATTACTTTGGTTGAATGAAAAAAATAGCATGTCTAACAGCACTAGTGTGTTTGGTAGGTAAAAAGATTTTCTTGGCAAGTATTTCCTTAAAACATGTTGAACATTGTAGCATGCCTTGTGTCTTCAATGTTGTTAATGATACCAATGCCTGCCTCCCAAAAATGTAGCAGTATCAATGTCATTCTTCAAAGCCAATGTATATTATATGTGGGGAAAGTGAGCATAATTTCATTTGTGCTTGGAACACTCTAAAGTTGTGTGCATTGAGGAAGTCAATACCCATTTAAGCAATCCCTTTTTCAGACAATGAATAGTCAATACGAAACATGTGATGGGTGTAGAAGTCAAATAAAATTGAAGACTGGAAGATTCTTTTTGGTTGTAAAAAGCAAGTTTTGACTACTATAACTACAATTTTATGGCTGCAGACAGGATTAATACCAACATATGGGTTATCTGATTGTATTGTGTAATTAATCAGGCTACACATTCTGTGTATATTTTATATATTTTCCTACAATTTATTTTTATATTTAACAGTATAACAAAATATGGAATAATTGTATGTAAAAATGAACCAAGTTATACATAAGTAATCAACTACATCGGTTCCTAAAAAAAATCATGGATATAGCACTTACAACTAATGATATTTAATTATTTGATGCTCAATTTTTGGGAACAGTTTTGTATTAATTTTCTTCAAGTTCAGGAAAAACATTCAAGCTTCATGGGGCATGGATACGTATATTTTGGACCCTATTTTCTTTTCCAGACCCCCTCAAACAAATGCATTATTCCATGCTAACCGTCATATATATCATACCATATGTGCACCAATTGTTGTTTGGTTTAGTTCAATATGCCTATTGGCTGTATAGGTTATCTAAGGACGAACTGTAAGTCCTACATTGATCTATGTGGATTGCAACTTCTTTTAAATTCGTTACATTGCCCATGTGTTTGCAGTTATTTTATCCCGACTATGTGATCCTAAATTTTGTTGAGGTGATGCTGTTTTTTTTTTTAATATATTTTTTATTTTTGTGCAATGCAGTACCTCAATGATTTGGATTATCTTAGATCACAGCTGTCAGCCACTCAAGCAACTGCAGATGCGAGTGCTGTATCAGCTCAGTCTGCACAACTTCAGTGTTTGGCACTGTTAAAGGAATTAGATGAGAAAAATAGTTCACTAAAAGAGCATGAGCTTCGTGTAAATAGGATGGGAGAACAATTAGATCTTTTGCAAAAGGATCTACATTTAAGGGAATTTTCCCAGAAGCAACTAAAAGATGAAGTCTTAAGAATTGAGCATGATATAATGGAAGCGTTAGCGAAAGCTGGAGCAAGCAAAGATTGTGAGCTGAGAAAGATACTAGATGAGGTTTCCCCAAGGAATTTTGAGAAGATGAATAAGCTTCTGACTGCTAAGGACGATGAAATAGCTAAGCTGAGAGATGAAATCAGGATTATGTCTGCTCACTGGAAGCTTAAAACTAAGGAATTGGAATCACAGGTAGAGCCAGCTTCATTTGCTTTTTCAATTGACTCTTGATCCTTCTTCCATTGAAATTCTTAAAATTAATTACTTGTCAAATGCATAGTTCTTGTTTATTTATGAGATTTAACTTGTTTATCAAACAGCTGGAGAAGCATCGGAGGGCTGATCAGGAGTTGAAAAAAAGGGTTTTAAAGTTAGAGTTCTGTCTCCAGGAAGCCCGTGCTCAAACACGCAAGCTCCAAAGGGTAATTCTAGTTGTTCATAGCCACAAGAGAAAGCATATTGTTTTTTATGCATCTTAAGTATTCACTTGGGTAGGGCTGGTTGAGTTTTCTTCATTGGCATTAGAACTGAAACCTGGGTTCTTGATTTTAAACCTATATGAGCAGCGTTATGTTCTTGTTGACCAAATGGTCCACAACCTCATATTAGTGTTCAATTTGCCCCACTCAGTTCAGTCACTCAAAATTTCCATGCTTCAAATCTAGCTTCTTGTGTGTACAAACTCTGGCCCCCATCACTGAATTGCCTGCATATCTGTGCGAGTGGCAGGTTTAGGTGCTCTACCATGCAAATTATCCTGGTGGCAACTAGAGTTGTTTTATTCATAATTTTTATTCTTTTTGCTACTGAAAAACCCAAAGAATAAAATTTGCCTGAATGTAGCAGATAAATTCCTGCTCCAAAATACACAGTTCTCAATATCTTTAACCTTCCCATGCTCATTAGTTTTTGATGCTGTTATGAGTCATTTTTTCCTCTAATGTATTTTAGATTTCTCTGATTATTCATTTCATTGACAGATGGGTGAACGACGAGACAAAGCACTGAAGGAACTCAGAGATCAGTTAGCAACAAAGCAACAGGATGGATTTGTTGGTCTTGAGAAGCAAAATTTCTGGGAAAGCTCTCGGTTTAAGATTGTGGTTTCCATGTCGATGTTGATCCTAGTATTGTTTTCAAAGCGGTAATGATACTGTGTTATTTTAGGTTATTGTATAAAAACCCCTGGATACCTAGACGTCAACTTTAGGAGATTAGAGACAGTTGTAGATGCTAGGGGTGTTTTACATTTTTTATGTCACAGCTGCAACCCTCTTTTTGTTGGTACGATTATTAAAATTGATCCTGGTGGTTGCTGTCGTGTGTCTACTATTTTGAATTGAAATCATTGAAATGCATACCTTAATTATGTAAATTTGTTTATTCCTGTCTGTAGTTGGTGGTATTCAAAGCATAATATTCAATCCCTTTTGCAAACTTATCTTCAGTATGCTGGATTTTTTAGCTTTTTACCTAGAATTCTCCAGTGTATTCTTAATGGAGCCATGGAGGTCACTATGAAAAAAAAAAAAATTGTTAGTTGAGTCTGTCTTTTGAATTTTTGAGCTGTCAGTATAGATGGCATCCAATGCATATATGCTGTGAAGAGCTGTAATAACACTTTAGACAAAGCAGCAATTATGAAAAAAACAATTGTTACAATGGTGGTACTAAGTCATCATCGTGGTTTGTGATGTTATATGTATATACTGGATGCGATGGTATTGGTCATGTGGAGTTTGTTATGTTTATATAATCTTTTGTTATTAGATGATTATAACGTGTCGATGATAATCTAGTATCACCGACCATATAAGTTATATCGAAGGCTATTGACTATTATTGTAAACATTCCTGCCCATAAGGATTACAAACTCAATTCTTCTACAAGACTTGGGATTGGAAACCCCTGAATTAGCAGCCAACCTAAATGCCCCACTTTGTAGATATAAAGATACATAGTACCCTAAGATGTAAAACAGTACATGCAAAAGTAGATCATTTACAAACTGTATCTACAGCAATTAGCATCTCTACTGCTGAGGTGTGTGAGAACTAGACCTTAAGGAACCTCACAGCTGTACACTGGCTTGATCAGCCAAAGCCCTGGCTGTGGGCAAAAGCTAAAGGCTTTTGATCCGTTGATGTGCACGGAAAAACTGTCTTTACATATTCAGAATCAGTGTCCCTGTGATGATTGACGTTACCAGAGTGATGCAACCGATAATGGGTTGCAACCCAGATGATGTGGATGTTGAGGCGTTCACACTGGGAGGGCCGTCACCAAAACCTAATGTGGTGCCTGAAGCAGGGGTGCTTGGGTACACTGTAGGAGCAGAACCAGATCTGCCAATTAAGGTTGAAGAAATAATGATGACTAAAGTTATTTCCTGTACTAATATGGTGCAAGGTTTTAATAGTCATGAGAATCGAACATTTACCCTGGCACTGCTGCCCCGGAAGATGATGTTGTTGGTGTTGGTGTTTGAGATGCTGGTGATGCTGATGTTGTTGTTGGTGTTGGTGTTTGAGATTCTGGTGACGAAGAAGACGCGGATGAGGATGGGTAAATGCAAGAACCACTGCCTGTACATAATTCAGAAGTAAATAAGGCACGGTTTTTGATTTGTTTAAGCATATTTGTGCAACAGTTGCAAGCCTCTGTAAGAAAGGAAGACAGATTCATCAAGATAATTTTTTTGCTTACTTGGATTGACGTTGGTAATCATGGCAGTGCCCCCAAAGTCGCAGCTGGATTGTGTTGGATTCTTTTGAAAATAGCTGTTGAAGGCATATGATGCATGATTTTGCAGAGTATTCGGATTATAACAGCTCCCACTTTGCTGGATAGTCGAACAATCTGCTCCTCCAATTCCACAGGCATAATCAAGTGCCGACTGAAGTGCAGTCTCTAATGTACCACTCTTCACCACACACCAGCTCTGCCCTGGAACTGCTGGAGAATTGGCTGTTACAGGAGGTGTCACTGGGACTGTGACTGGGGTCGTGACAGGAACACCTCCTGATGGTGGATAAGTAGTCACAGGGTTGGTGACTGGTTGCGCCCCTGGATTTGTGCTTGGCGTTGTAACAGGATTGGTGATTGGCACCGGTGAGTCAATTGGACTTGTATAAGGTACAGGGACGGGGTTGGTGGAGGGAACTGTCAGAGGAGTGGAAGCCGGATTTGGCGTTACTGTGACAGGATTGGTAGATGGAATGGTAACAACTGTTGGGGCTGAGCTATCCGGAGGGACAGTGACTGGCGTTGTCACAGGATTCGTTATGGGAGTTGTAGGAAATATTGTGGTAGGTGGATTAATCGAGTCGTGTTGAGTTATTCTGTAGTTAAATTTGTCGAGGAGTTCTCTATGCGATGAATGAAATATCTGTTCTTCTTCCCTTTTGAGCTCTTTCTGCTCAAATTCTTTAATTGGAGATACTTCTACAAACAACCCAGAAATCTTCCCTTTAATTTGAGGGCTGTTCTTCAATGATTTCAAAATCTTATCACCAAATTCAGCTACTTCCACAGCACTAGGAACTGCAGAGCTCTTAATTGCCAAAACCATTGAAACAACATCATCAGGAAAAACAGAAGCAGCCAAGGTAGCTCTTTTGATCACCAATTCAACAAATCTATCTCCCATACTCAATTCTCCATCTATACTTGCTTCAACAGTAATGAAGGACCTAGTTTTATTGATGAAATCAAAAATTCTATGCAGGTCTCCTTCGTGTTTCCCATTCAAGTTTTCTAAGAACGACAGGGGTAGTGCCACGGACGGTTTCACTTCTGTATCAAGTCGAAAACTACCGAGCATTGAATGGATTGATTTCAATGTTGATAAAAGCACAAGCAACTCTCCTGGCAAGTCATTCCTTCTACTACTCACTACGACACTTTTGGTGTGTACATGTGGGAGGTAGGTTGTTGAAAGGGTTTTGAGCCATGAAATTGCAGAGGGTTTGTAATTTCTCAGATTCTCAGCTTGGGTTTTATTCAAGTAGAGATCAACAAACACACTAGTGTTGGATAAACTATCTAAAACCCTGTGATCTGCAACAAGTACCTTGATCTGAGATGGGGTGACCTTGTTGAGTTTAAGGAATGATATTGTTTCAGTAGGAGATAAAATTTCATTGCTTTTTCTTGCATCATAGAAGAAACCCACCAGAGTTCCTGTAAGGAAGAAAAAGATAATGAGGGAATATACAAATTAGATTTTCTAGTGGTACAAGAACAACTACTAGTTTAAAATTACAGTGCTGATCTATCAGCAATCAGGAAATAATAAGAAACCCCACAAACAACCAGAAAATAATTATGAGAAAAAATCTGTCTTTATAGTTTCATACTTCATGTTTGGTGGTCTAAGAAACTTCTGGTAGATTACCTTTTTTCTTTTTTTTTTCTTGCATTGAACAAGTGTTTCTTATTAAAAAACTGGAAAACTAATAAGTCATTTATGGCTTAACACACACACACACACATAATGCATATATGTTGTTGCTTTCACATTAAATTCTTAAAGGATGACTGAAATGAAGTACTTACCTGAAGAGCAGGCAATAAGAATAAAGAGAAAGAATAAGAAGAGGCATTTGGAAGCTCCTCGAGCCATTATAACGATGGGTGTTTCTGGGTTTAGGAAGAGACCCAAATGGATTTTTAATGAGAATTTTACAAGGGCAGGGTTTAAAAGACAAAGCATATAGAATCGGAAAGATGGCCATGAGAGAGAGAGAGAGAGAGAGAGAGAGAGAGAGAGAGAGATGAAAAAGTGATGAAGATAAAGGTGGGAGGAGAGGGAAAGAGGGAAAAAAGTAAAAGAATTCGATGTTCGGCAATGATAAAGTAGTTACTTTATGATGAAGAATGAAATTTGGAAATGTCGTGCCGCTCAACAGTAGGAAGAATCGACCATGTTGCTATTTTAAATTGATTTACTTTTTCGAAAAAAAATGGCTCAGAATACAAAGCTAACACAGCATTTAGCAAGTGGCAAGGCACATGGGTATGCATATGCACAAACAATCACAAAAAGCAGGGGTGGGATGGGATGGGATGGAGTGGGGGTGGCACCCATGTACACCGCATGTCGTATTCAATTGGTGTGGCAAAGGCCTGGTGGCTGATTGGGTAAACAACCCCCCTGGTTTGTAATGGCTAGAAAGTGTAAGCTAGTACAGTTGCTAAACAGATTCTCTCTCTCTCTCTCTGTCTCTCTCTCTCTCATCATGCGACAGTTTTTTATTTCAATCTAGAAAGTTGAGTTTGACATTTATTAATCTTCACTGCTACACGAAAAGATCCATGGCTAAATTCCCATACATGTATAAGGACTCTTGCCTTCAGAGTGTCATATAGATGGACAGGAAAATAAAATTCTCACTATATAGTGCTAGTAATCAACAAAGTTCAACAGTGCAACCCAGACCCTTTTTTTTTATAATAATTTTCTTCTGGTTTTGTGTCTCTTGGTCTCGAGGGTGACGCAAAGTTGTATTATGATCTCAGTATCATAATTTCAGTCATGCAAATAGTGTCTGCATGGGTCCAATTATGATACCAAGAAATTATTTTTTAATATAATACTTTATTTTTTTAATTAATAAAATCTTAATTTAATTACTTTACAAATTAACGATCTATGAGCACAAATTATTATTTTTTAAATTACATATTGAAAAGCTTTTCCAACCATATTCCTATACCTCTAGATATAGAAGGTAAGATATACTTTTTTTCCTGTATGCTTCTGTTTCTTGGCCTTGCAAAAACTTTATGGAAAGCAGAGATAATGATTCTCTACTGACAATGTCTTCAACCTGGCATATCCGTTACAATCATGAAAATATCCATCAATGATTATTGTCCATTTCACATGAAAATTGATTCAAAATTACCAATAGGGATGTAAAACAATGAGTAGACCTATGGAAAAGTTTATGATACCATTTGATATCGTATCGAAAATATGTAGGATAAGGTATAATTTGTTAGGATTTAAAAATTTTAAATCGACCCTAATAGTTTGGTATGAATCCTTCAAAACCGGAGGTTACTGAGCCAAAACTTGATATGTTTGAATTTAATTTGACTTGATTGAATTATATTTTTTAATACGGTAGAAAATCCTTATATTTTTTAATACATGTGATTGGGATTTGTACTGAATGCATGTCAATTGTTATGCAATTCAAGTATGGGCATGGACATCCATGTGCTAATAAAAACCAAAATAAAAATAAAAGATGAAGTCGATGGGTAGCTCAGATGAAATTACTATCTCAAGATTCCAGTTCCAATTTATTTACATGTAGTTTAAGGGTGATTATGTAAATTCGTAATTTAATTACGAGTCTCAATAATGAAAGATTTGCAAGGTTATTCGCTACACTAAAAAGAGGTAGTTTCATTATCATTTGAGAATGCATACATTTCATGTGATGCCAAATTGTACATAAATCTAACAATCTTAGATATTGTATGTGAATTTAATATAAAAATGAAAAGGAATTGACGAGTTTAGATAATAAGCGAATGAAGATTCGTCAATTGAAAGAGTTGATACAAACACAACTAAATACATCAACAGTCCATGATACACAACTTATACAAGACATAAATTTAATGGGTCACAAAGCCGGATATACACTATCATAAATTGCATAGGTATGAATTATATAAATTGATATAGTAAATTTAAAACTCCTTAATTTCAGGTGGCACGGACACATAGTTGAAGAAAGTCTTTAGGGTGAAAACATGTATTCGGCTGCTTTTTGACATTTCTATTGATATTATAAACATGACATGACCACCTTTGTTTGAATTCAATATTCCTAGCAATGGGACCAACCCATGTGGCCTAATATGTTGATAAAATCTCTTGTTCTTTCAAAAAGAATGAACATCACTTTGGCTGACTAGGCCTCGGCCGAAAGCAAGATGAGGGATGATAAAATTGTGTAATTTATCCGATAAGAACATGAAAAGTTTTCTGCCTATGCTCATCATCCAGAAAAAAAAAAATCAAAATAAGACTTGTCTAGTGCCGGATTTTAAAGGAGTAATAAATATGAATCCAAAACTTATTTCAAATCGGGTATCTTAGATCAATGTGGATAGTTAGTTCAGTGAATTTTATTGAATTTTTTTATTGCAACTCATAGGTCCAACCATTCAATGGATTTGAATGCTATACTTGGGATAAGTTTTAGAATTCATAGAATAATAATTGTTTCAAAAGAGGGATAAAAGAAAATTAACATGAGGTTATTCTATTGAGAACTAGACGTTATGATTTTGAATTACGAAAATAGTATCTTCACATGTACGGTAGCGATATATACACAAACCTATCCCGAAGTTGTGGACGTCACAATTTCGAGTTATGAAATAGTGCCTTTGTATGTGGGATAATAATATATATAATCGACTATTTCTAAAAATACAATGATTAAAAAACTTGTGCACTGAGGGCCTGTTTGGTGTGGGGGTTTTGAAACATGGGTTGGGAAATAAATTTCCTCAAACCCATGTTTAGCAAATACACATCTACTCTAGGGTTTGAAATCAAGTCCGATTTCGATCATGAAACCCAAGTTCATGGGTTTCATGAAACCCATGGGGGTGGGTTAATGAGTTTAACATCCAAATGACATTTATACCCTCCATACATTCATACTCATGTTTAGATTAAATTGGTTAAGGAGTACAATAGTTATTTATATACAAATATATTATCATAATAATCATATATCCCTGCACATATCAAACATGAGTATGAATAGCATTAAATTTTGAATCTCGTCTTTGAATCTCATCTTTAGGTTTGGAAGAATTTAAACAAGTCAATCCAAGCCCCTCCCAAAAAACAAATATATAAAAAGTAATAACACATGATATGATGTGAGCATATCACTTTAACGTACTTGCTTTCTGGTCTGATTTGTTGCTTTGTAAATTAAAGCTAAATTAAATTGCTTTAGATAGAAACTTCATCCTTCAGATACTGGGTCCTCTTCTTCTGTCCAAATTTTGGGTTGGCTGCATTTTATGATACATCAATTCAGCCGTAGGCAACTAGAGATTTTCAGGAAAAGGTGAAGGTAACGTTGGCATGAGCTGTATGTCCACCATTAATGGACTTCTGGTTAGAGGATAGAAAGTGGCTGTGCTGATCTTTTGTAAAAGAGGGTGCAAACTTTCATCAGCTTAAAAAAAAAAACAGCTTTATGGATAAACAATATCGCATAGTAAACCCTACCTACACGAGTCGGTTTAGTGGTCGAGGAAGTAACTAGACGTAAATTTACGCATTCTAAATTTGAGTTTTTTTGATAGTATAAAACTCAAGTTTAACTGATGGGATCAGAGGCGGAGCCAGAAATTTTATTCAGAATGGACACTTTAATTATGCACTCTAATTTTTTTCTTTCTAACCAATCACACTATATAACATATTTATATTTATTATATTATACTTGATACATGAAGTCCATTTAACATAAAAATTTCCAAAAAAAAAAATGTAAATTGTCAGGGGAGGAGCTATGAATATCTATGATAGAGGCAAAATATAATTGATATAAAAAAATATTAAGCCAAAATTAATACAAAAAAATTCAGTTCAAGAATAAAAAAAAAAAGTAAGAATCAACACTAAATTATTGTGAAATACTAAATTCAATTTTTATTTAGTCGAAACAAAATCTTAACAAAAAGACACAATAAAATATATATTGCAATAAAATATAAAATTTTTTAAAATCTCTAAAATTTTGTGTATATGAATTAAATGTAAATTAATTTTCGTATTTTATTAGGTTATAGACTACTATTACTAAAAAAAAAATATTAAATGAAAACTAAAAATCATTCTTAAAAAGTAACGAATATTGTGTTAGATAAAGAGAAATATTGTATTTTCGTCAATATACAAATAAAACATTGACTCAATCCAAAAATAACATATTTATTTTAGAGGGTTAGTGGTCCACTAATTTATTAAAAAAAAAAGACTAGAACCATTATTAAAATTTTCAAAAATTAGGGGATAAATATAATTTATAAAATAATTTTATAGGTTGGTGCAAGGAAGGACAAAAAAACTCAAGAAACTGAGCTTCTCGTGTGTTGAGCTTTTTTCAGTTTCTTCTCTTTTTCTTGTGGTTGGGTAGTGGGCAGCTGAAGTGGGTGATACAGAGAGGCCAAAAATTTTGTTTTTAATATTGGGCTAAAAGTTTTGTTTTTTAATAGGTTTGGGTGGATTGTGATAGATCAAATATTTAATTTTTTAATAAATTTGAATAGATAATAGTGAATTCAATTTTTTTTGTTTTAAATTAATTGGACTAATTTAAATGAGGGGGGCACATAATATATATGTATAAATATATAATACATATATCTAATTAATAAAAAAAAAATTGAAGGGAAGCACGTGCCCTTCGTGGCCCCTACCTCCCTCCAACCATGGATGGGATTGATAACTTGTGATTATATTTATTTGACATTTGTGTTTTAACCATTACTTTAAAGGATGTGTTGAGATGACTAGATAATTATGAGTTTTAATAAGATCCATTTATTAATTTGTTTATCTATAAGTAGACCATTATTCCACGTGATAATATTGGCACAGTTAACTTAGTGTTACATTATTTTGCTGCAATCTGCAACACCAATTCTACTACAAAAAACAAATATATTTATGCACAAACCGGGACATGAGACAGAGCGAGAGAGGCGAGAGTCTCTAAGACTCGACGAGGAGGAGGCGCTAGGGATCAATCGACTGAGAAGAAGAAGATGAAAGTGGCGAGAGTCTCCGAGACTCGGAGAAGGAGGATGCACTAAGAATTTTAGGATTTTTGTGCACAAATTAACATGTAGGGATGATCTCAACTTGCACTCAGAAAGTTTCATCAAATCTTAATTTATACTCTCAAAATTTAAAAATATCAATTTATACCCTAAAAGATATATGAAAAAATTTGAACACCCTTACCTGAAAAATTAAGTAAACAAAATAAAATTTAAAATTTAGATTGAAAAGTATAGTCCACTTCACACATACACATTTCAAATGACGGAGAAAAAGGGTTACACTTGGATAAAAAAATATAATAAGCATATCTCTTCTATAAAAAAAAAAATCAAACACATTTTCTATTTTTCTCAAACTTGATTTTGTTCCAATTTAAATATAAAAATACCAACTATTTAAATTATTTATTTTCATAAAGGACCCACAATAAAAAGTAATTAATATCAAAAAAAAATTCAATAAATTTATTATCGGGAAAAATAAAACACAATAAATTAGTAGGTGAACGTTGAATACATACACAAGTTAAGAATCATAAAAAAAAATAGTAAAATAATTCAATAACAAGAAATTACAAATGTATACTGATAATCGATCATGTAATACCACAATTTTTATGAACAACATACAAAACAAATAAAAAGAACATAAAAACAGTAATGAAATAATAGATTGTATCCCAAAAAGTGTGGATCAAGCAAGAGATAAGAAAGATAAACAGATGTGCAGATTTGTTTGCTAAAAAATGTGTAGTTAGTCAAGATGATCTATATAATTACAATTCCTATGAATTATACTATTGAACAGTTATATGCAGATAACATGTGTATTAAATAATATATATGTAATGTTTAATATATCTTAGATGCCTAAATTACTATAAATAAAAAAATTAAATGGCATCACGTTGTAACATTGAACATCTTTACTATGACAGTACTTTATAACGGTCTACACATAATTTGAAAAATTTTAAAAATGCATAAAATATAGAATAACACATATATTACATTTAATCCTTGCGTATCATTCAGTAATCAATTTGTCTTATTTAATCGATTTCATGAGCAAAGACCCGACGGTGAGGGACGAGTAGAGATTATAATTATTGTGAGATGCACAAACACTTCGATCCTTTGGATGGAAGGAGTGACATCACGACTAGCCCTAGGGCCCAACCATTAAAATAATTGCTTAGAGTCCCAAAAATTTATGGCCCCAATTTAATTTTCAGTTTTAGTTCAACTTCATGTTATAAGATCCTTTTGCATGGACAAAGTTAAAAGCCCAATATATTTCATAAGTCTATATAAAGCCTTATAAAAATTTTTAAAATGTAACAATTTCACAACTCTACATAAACCTTACAAAAAGTCCTAAAATATGACAAATCAGTCTAAAAAAATATATAAAAATAATGACTTCTAGTTTTAAAAGTTACAATCCTTTTCGATTTTTTTCATTATTTTTTACTTGACTCTCAACCTCTCTTCAACTCTTTCGCTCTTTCGCTCCCTTCCACTGTCATTGTCTTACTTTGATTCTTTATCATTAACTCTAACTTTCTTGTTGTCACTTTAAGTTTTTGTTCAATTTATTAATGTGTATCATTTTGATTTTACAATTGCACCCAATTTATTGTTTGATCCCGTCCGATCTCAAAACTCCTAAAAACAAAATATACCGCAACTTTTTATAAAATGTCTAATACTTTTTAAAAAAATTATTATCTTCCTAAAATATTAAATAAAATTTCATGTAAAATTCTTGTTTTAGGCCTCAATTTGTATTGGGCCACCACTGGACATGAAAAAAAAGAAAGATAAAGATAAAGATTAAAAAAAAAAAAAAAAAAAAAAGGAAAAGGGGATTGTGGAATGACTGTCTAATCAGAAGACGAAACTGAGAATTTGTTTAAAAAAAAATACCCATAAAATTGTTGAAGAATGCTGTAAACTCATGGTGGCCCAACCTCGTCCCTTCTTCCGTTGATCGACGATGCTTTCAAGTTCTCTCTCTCCCTCTCTACACAAAGTGTCCGAAACAAACAATCAAAAGACAAATATTATATCAAACGAATTCAACCTAAACTCACTCTTGGCACTACAACGCATGAATTTTTAAACTCGGTTACACAACTCTAGGTTGAAATTGAAGTTCTCTGCAGACTAATCTTTGGCTGATATTGGGGTTCATATTTCTTGATTACATCTACTGTAACTTGGACAGAAAAAGAGGGGAAAAAAAGTTGTTCTAAACTGTACAATTTCTTAATCCATTGAAGAGTTTCAAGTGATACAGGTAACGATGCTGAAAGAAGGGATTGGATGTAGAAGCTAATGAGCACAAGCAATCTATTTGTTAAGAAAAAACTTTCCCGAGTTTTGACCAAGCAATCCAAAGTTGTTAACAACGAAAAAGAAAGAGTGCATCATACAAAAATCAATCTGAAGTTGCCTTTTGACTACTGCTCACATAAACTATTATGTCTCCAGAGCAAGTTGAACACCACTTTCATCTCATGGCGCCCTCCCGCACAACATCTATCATGTTGTAGATGAATTTGTCCGCCTTTGATTGAACCTGAGCTTACACAACATTTCCAAATTCAGTCAAGTAACAGAAATTAACAGCGAGAGAAACTCGGAGCATTTGATAATAACAGCAGTTTTTATACATGTTTTGTTATATTTTCTTTAATACTCTTAATAGTTTTAATTGGTTGCCAAAAGGCTATTATATACCATTGATATATTTGGTGGATTATAGTTGACAAATGTAACGTTGCAAAGGGCAAAAAGACGAGTATATAAAAGTTGTAACCAAAATAATGGTTAAATTATGTGAAAAAGTATTACTCGAGCGATGCATTTTGAGGAAGCAAGCATTATCACCTTCTTAGCAAGGAAAATTGCAGCATCAAGTGTACCCTCCGCAGGGATTGATCTACCACGGATGTTATGCCGAAACTCAAAAGAAACTCTGAAAAAAGGAAACACATCTAACATAATTAGTGATGCTTACTAGGAAGACAAACAGAGAAGCACAAAAGCAATGGTTCGTAAATTACATTTTATCAGGTGACTCCAGGTGATACATGTGGAATGCATGACCAGATAGGTACTCTTTCGGGACACCAACCATCTCAATTTGTTGCTTGGGATCTCGTATTTTTTTTACCTGATGAAATGTTAAATAAAGGATCAAGGAACATACCTAACAGTTTTGATTTGATTTTTGCCATACAGCTTATGCAAAGAGGAAGGAAAGAGACAACAAAAAGGTTTTACCCCCCCAAAAGGATAAGTCTGTACATGCCAACTTACATTACATGATTACCAACAAAAAAACTTAAATTACATGAGTTACTAGGATCCTATAACTTGCTTTAAGGTCTAGAAGCGATGAACACTACTCACAACAAAGTATGCCATAACACACCTATCATGCTAAACTATCTAGGCCCGTTATACAGCCCAGTGCGTATGACATATAAACCCTGTTGTTTTGGTGATTAGGGTTAAAATCGTGGATGTACAACTGCTCTCTGTATTCAACTCTCTCAATAGTGAAATCCCTGCAGCTTCGTGGACGTAGGCAAATTGCCGAACCACGTAAAATCTGTGTCTTGTTCTTTCTTGTTTCTTATTGCTTTATATTCTTGATTTGTTCTTCGATTGTGTGTGTTTGTTAGTGGATTCAAATCGTGAGAAATCCCAACAAGAAGGATACAATAAAAGTGGACAAGCTGTACAACCAAAAGCATAATAAATCAGAAGTCATGGAAACCAAACTAAAAATAGCAGGAAGCATTCCACATTGCAAAAAAACAAAATAGAGGAGTTCCTTGAAACTCCTTAGTAACTAAGGCCCAGAAAGAAGCTAAAAAGTAACTCGTTTCCCACGGACACCACACTTCCCATATATAGAGACCAGTGCATTTTGCACAAACAAGCACCACTCAAGATAGTTTCCATCAATATATTTATGAATCCACCAAAATCTTGATTCAATGCTTGACCAAAGCTTCAAATGCAGACAGTAAGGTTAAGTTATTAGGTCTAGTCCCCTTACCATATGTTTAGAGGCTGAGAGAGTCTCCATATGAAGCCCATTTCTAAAGACTGCAATATATTTGAGTCATTAGTTCCAACATGGGCATCACTAAGGAAATTGAGGGATGAGTAGAAGGTGACTGGTTTGGAAAACCAATAGGGTGTTAATCATGACCCAAAGAGATGATGTGGGCATGACATTGTTCAACCTGTGGAAGTGACTTGAGATTGGAAGATAAGGAGTGTAGAATAGAATTAGAGCAAGAAGCAGAAGAACCAGCACAGCATTGGCTGAGAGAGACGGTTCTAAAGGCCTTAAATAGATGAGATTGGCCAGAAAAGCCCGTGCAGCATGTAAGAAGGGACTCCACCATAGATTCATCACCTGCAGTGAATTGTCTAGGATTGATATTTGGGACTTATGTGATGTCAATTGGTATTTTCTTCAAGTTTCCGGTTGCTTAATGTTTTGTTTCAATTTTACAGGAGGAATGAATTTTTGGATTTGTCACAGAAAAATGTTTCTTGGAAACAAATCAAATGAAGAAGGCAAGTGTTGTGTCTAGTAACAGGGTAGCTGAATACAGACTGTATGATGGCACCCACACTTGCAACATCCAGAACAAAACAGTTAGCAAACACCTCGCCCACCCTTTTCCTCAAGTAAAAAGGATCAGTTCATCCAAGTAAAACCACAACCTTCAACAAAACTTCAATTGCACCCAATTGCCTGCAATTTCAGCTGTACATAATCGCAAATACCAGCACCCCAGACAACTGAGCAAGACCAGAGACACACACAACCCCCCCACCCCCATCCCTGGACGCCTATACCTCGAACCTTCCCCTCCCAGGCAGAACCCAAGTTCCCCCCAACCTACATACAGAGAACTCAGTAATACCTCCCACCACCGGTCACCAACAGTCCCACCCATCACCATCGCACATGGCCCCAACACAATCATTCTTCAATTTTGTTGCTTCTGTTTTTATATGACATATAGTATGTGAGAGTAGAGATAGAGTTTGGGGGCTTGTTGCAAGTGGAGCTTGTCACAGATTCATCAACACTGCAAGAACTCAAAGCTTGGAAATCATCGTCTTTCTCTCTTCGAGGCAACACTAAACCTGTGCATGTGTTTACAGGTGTATCGCCGGTGGTGGGTTGGGCTGAAGTTTTGGCTACGAGAGAGGAGACATTGACCGACGAAATACACACGCACAACACATATTTAAAATGGAGAATAGAAATGTAAAATGTCACTTTTCATTAGGGACAAATTTGTAGAAAGACATTGCCCATTTTCTGCATTGTCTGACAATTTCTGACAGGGGAATGTTAGTTTATTTTCAAAAATCAAGGGATCGTCTCTGTAATTATATCAATCTACGAAAGATGTCATTGATATTTACCCAAATTATTATTAGGATATTTCAACAAAGATTGACAAACCGAAGCCTTTCAAGCATATAAACAGCGTCAAAATCCATTTACCCAAATAAATATTAAGTATTTCATTGATGATTCATAAGTCATTATTGAGAAATGGAGAGAAAATCCGATACTACTATGTACTATCATGTCCTAAACACACCTGATCTACTTCAAACGAGGCCCCCAATTTCTGAAAGCATGAAATGACATCCTTGGCAGTTCCAGATGTGTCCAGTTTGCCAGCTTGATGTGACTCCATCACCTTAGTAAAACATCAGATTTCACTATGACATATCAGCAAAATATCAGGAAAAAAGGAAAGTCATCCTTAACCTAATGCGTTTAATATGTTTTAGACAACATGAAGAATGAGAAGCTAAAATATCAGAGCTTCAAGCCAGTAAATAACTAAGATGTCACAAGCTAGTAATCGCAAAATTTGACACCAAAAGAAGAATTTTTCTTACATCACGTTTGTGGTGAATATTGGAAAGAAAGGATGCATAGATGTATAGAATGAGTAAGAAGGATAAGAATATCAAGCCGATGAATTAAGTACACCAAGTTAAGAATGAAAGAAACATAATTAATGCTCAAATACAACACTCCACATTTAACCATATCTATCTTGGCCTAACTCAGGCTAACAGATGGTGGCAGTAACATATCTCAAATGATAAATAGCCTATATAATTGCTAAATATTCGGTCTTTAATCTAAATTATAACTAATCACAAACAATTAAATGGAAATTTTTTAAAGTAAGTTTTTTTTTTCAATTGCAACAATCAAATCCTCCAAGTTTTCCATGTTTTTCAATCAAGTTCTTCCACTCAATTTGGATAAAATTTTGTTACAGAAAGCCTTCACAGGGCCCACACATGACCGAGCCATGGGCTAGTTTAGATCAAAAACACCAAAATTCTTCCAGCTTAGTTTGCCAAACAAACCTAAATGTGTTCCAAGACAAAACAAAAACCATGGTGTCAAACATTCCTAAACTTGTTGCCAAACAATCCCCACGACCCCATGACTCCCGACACTCTTTCCCCAATTAGGACCCCCTCCCCCACCCCAAAACCCTTCAATCTCCCATAACCAACTCCCACAACCAAGCTAGAGCCCTTCAAATGACAGTTAGTCGGTTCACTTGAAACAGAGTCAAGGGCACCAGACACATTGATTAACAAAAACAGGTCTCACAGGAACAAAAACAGGTCCCACAAGAGGCCAAGAAGTCCTTACCATGGCCAAGTCTTTGGATTCACCATTGCCAAAGGTAAGCATTGTTCCATACCTAAAAATCAGAGATGGTCATGGTTCCAGGTATTGAATTCACTCATTTTTCTGTAGTAGGGATCATAATTTTCACAAAGAGAGTGTGTTGTGGCGGTGTGTTCTTGAAGGGTTCTTGATAGAGTGATCATAGGGAGGAGGGGTGAATTGAAGGTAGCATCTAAATTAGAAAATTTTTTACATAGTTTAGGCTTTTGGGTTAGGGAGGTTTATGGTGACTGGAGAAGGCAGTGTAGTGGTGGATGATCTGCATGGTGGTCAAATGTATTTCAGAGACAAAAATTGGCGGTGGGTTGGCCCACTGGATTGGGGCTCAATATGTTGACTCACTGATACTTTATAATCATTTCCCATTTTATTTTGTAATATTCAAAATAACACAATATTATAAAAAATATTACAAAATATCATATAACCCTTGATTTCAAGCCACATAAATCTCTTGGTTGTACCTTCTTACATCTTTAAGTTTTTTTTTTTCGGCTCAGACTGACATATTAAGGTTAAGGATTAACCATAAGATTAAGGATCTCTAGAATAAGATTAAGGTCTCTAGGTTCACTTAAAAACAATAAAATCAAGAAAGTGACCATGAACATTTGACCACCGAATTAAGAGGAAGCAGAAAGCGGAAGTACCTGTAGCGTGTACCCAGAGAAAACTCCCGGAAACTGTTCCGCCATATTTTCCATGGTTGCAAGAAATGCCACTAGCTAAATGAAGCCAGTGAAGTAAGGTTTTACTAAAACATCAAGTACAAAATAATAGCATCACAGAGATAATGCAACCCATTTGGGGAGAGATCACGGCATAAATCTTTGAGCTTTCCACTGTCTTATAAAGCCGATTTCTATCTCCACCAGTAGTTCCCATTACAAAAGGAACGCCAATTTTGCAATATAATTCAACATTATCTGTGTATATAGTATGGCAACAAAAACTTCAATACATAGATTCTAAGTAGCTTAGTGGAATGCAAAACTCAGTTTTCAAGTTCACAAGAAGATTTTCAAATTGGCTTAAGTGCAAACTATTCAACAGTATCATCACCTAATCAGTCCCCACTAAGAAGTCTATGTAAATGGTGGGATATATAGGTGTTAGAGTATGTGTGGCTCATATTTTGCTATGTGCATAATGGCAACGAGGCAGATGCTGGAGCGGGCGGAGCGTAGCGGAGTGGAGCGAAAGACAGTGAACTACAAAACTAGTGAACTAAAGACAATCTCTACCTCTATCTTTCACTATCCTGAGTGTGCCTTTAGTCTTTCACGTCACCTGCCAGTGCCAAGTCCACCACCACCCTCTATCTTTCACACCCCCAAACAAGATTTCACTCTTTAGTTCACTATTTGTAGGGGCAACGATGGTGGTGGTGGATGGAGGCGCCAGTAGTGGTGGTGGTGGTGGTTGGGGTAGGTTTTAGGTGGTTGTGGTGCATGGCAACGATGACGGCGATGGTTGTGCAGTGGTGGTGGTGGGTGGTGATGAGTGGTAGTAGTGGTGGTGGTGGCTAGTGGTGGGCAGTGGTGATGGTGGTGGTGTTGATTAAAGTGATAATAAATATAAAAATAAGATAACGGTCGAGATTTTTTAATAAACTACTTCATTAAGGATATTTTGGTTAAGAGTTGATTTTAAGGTTGAACTTGAACCTAAAGCCAAAAAACATCCATGAATATGTTCCTATTCTGAAATCTCCCAAAATTAAAAGCTGATAAATCTTTAACACCATTATACGAATGTACGATAGCAGAGAATGATAGTTTAAGTCTCAAGTACCATGATGGAGAGTGCTACAATATTTTGGGACCCAACTAAATAATTCATCTTCTGGTTAGCTGCAGGTGACACCTGGACCAAACCTTTGCACTTTCTAAAAGGAATTGTAATAGTCGATGGTCCTCTGCTCCTATAGAATGCTTGAGAGTTCTCTTGACTTCCAAAGACATTGACTGAAACTCTACGACCATACATCATTGCTCTTACCTAATAGTTTGAAAGGATCACATGTTCAAACATCGCAAAAAATACAAAACTCCAAAATCCACATGATAAGAAAATAAACAATTACAAAATCTAAATGTCATGCCATAGTCATGAAACCCAGAAAATAAATCCCAAAGTATGATAACCAAAGCTAACTAAAATCTGCTCCAGCTTCAAACTAGCCCAAAACCTCCCTTTTCAATCAACTAAAAATAAACTCAAAAAGATTCAACTACACAATTTGTATATTAATCCAAAATCCTCAATCTACTTAAAACAAAACTCAACAAACCAAAATAACAGCATACACAATACTAAAAATTTAAAAAAAAAAACATAGTAACAAAAAACACCACTAATCAAAACAAATCAAACCTGAAACTTAGATGGCATGGCAAGTTGTGACAGCAAACTGTCTTCTATTACATCTATTTGCTTCATTATCACCAAACGCTTTAAAAAAACCATGTCATCTAATGAAAGTGTTCTTATATTTCAATTCCAATTTATCTAAAACCAAAATGTTTCACTTCACTAGGTTGGTCACAAATTCAAGTCAAATTAATAATCTAGAAAAAAAATTAGTATAAAAAAGGTAGAAAAGGAACAACAAATAACGTAATCTATAATATAAAAAAGGGTTGAAGTCCGACAGTCTCAAATAAACTCATCGTCAACCAACATCCACTCAAAACTATTCACATTGCGCCAGGGGCGGAGCCAAACTTCAACTCTAATGGGGGCAACTTTCAATATATGAATGCTCAAACTCGGAGTGTTAATACTATTTTACAAAAGTATAGTTTCATCGAAATGACATATACAAGTAATATACAAAAAGAGTTCACAAAAAAAGTCCACTATAAAATTGTACCAAAAAAATACTTTTGTATCAAAAAAATAGTGTCCAATAATGAATTGATTCAACACATGAAAAAATCCAAATTCTTGAAAATCTTCATAATCGTTTCAACAAGTTTTCACAAATGATATTTGAAAATTCTTTCTCAACATATGTAGCCAAGTAATCATTCATCTATTGATCTCTCGACTTTTTACTATGTACCTTATTGAGAAGTATTTATCAAAAATAATTTATTATTCAATCCCAATCAATCAAAATAGTTTAGGAAATCAAACAATTTTTAACATAAATACAAGTCTAGTAAATCAAACTTAGACATATAAACATCATAATTTCTCACAATCAGATTCCTCAAG